ATTTATACCAAAAATAATCATAAAATAAAAAAGGATTTTCTCTTCGGCACAATTATGAAGCCATAAGTGATTTAGCGGTGACAAAAATGAGACAAGACGTGAGACAATTATCGAAACAAATTATGGAACAAACAGAATTTGTTAAATATCTCCTGCCTGTGGAGTCAACATCTTTTTTTTCTTTTTTCCACCCATGAGCATTTGGAAGAATGTTGTGTATGCTCATACCAGAGCTTTTCAAATTTTTGTGAAATAAACAATCAAAGAACTGCAACTTTCATTTTCCATCGTGAAATTTTGTACTGCCCAGATAATATTTTTGAGTTCTAGCGATGGTTGTGCTGTTTGCATAGAGGTGCAGCACTTTATGCTGTTTAAAATGAGCCCATGGTGAATAAAAATAAGCAAAAAAAAACACCCAGAAACTGTTTGCGGGTACAGAAAGTTTATAAAAAATACATATATTATAGAATAAGTTCAAGTTAATTGAAGTATTTATATACTTTCTTGCTGCAATTTCAGGTCAGTGTGGTGAATGCCAGCAACCTTATAGCTTAGCTTAGCTTAGCTTAACTTAGCTTAGCTTAGCACAATGACTGAAAACAGGGAAACTGCTAGCCTGCCATTTTTCACAACGCCCGTAGCCTTCTATAGCATATGACATATCAATTTAAACAGTTTTTTTTCAGTTGACATGTTGATTACTGTGTTTTTAGGATGCTATAATGTGAGCATCACTAGCTGTTTCCCGCTCTCTGTCTGTCTCTAAGCCGAGCTAACCAGCCGCTAGTCGTAGCTTCCTTTTACTGTACGTGATAAAAGCAGCGTTTATGTCTTTGTGTAAATCTTGGTGAGAAAGCGGGCTTTCTAAAGTGTCAAAATATTCCTTTAAGGCCACATTCACTGGAGTGTACAGCTGTTTTTGTTTTTCAAGCTTTACTTTGTCATGTTAGCCCCGTTACGACAAGGAATATTTTTCTTTTATGCCGTCTTCTCCCTTTTGCTCGCATCTGCTGAAGTGTATTTTAAGATGCAGTCAAAAAAAAAGGGGGGTCATAGCTTCCCCTTTATAGCAAACTCCACGTTCTGGTGCGCTGCTTTTCAGTGTTGTTTACAGCTATTATTATGTCAGCCTTAAAGCAACAGTTTGAGCAACACGACCTTCATTCCAGGTTGAGGAAAAAAGAAAAAAAAGTCTGTTCTCAGCGTTACAGCCAGCTCTCATCGCCGCTGCATCCAACCCGATCACTGGTGGGATGATTTCATAGCCATAAAATCCCTCCCCGGGAAGCCACAGAGTCAAAC